AAAGAGGAGGCAAGAGAGAAGGAAAGAGGGGTTAGAAGAGAACCCCCTGCCATGGTGGTGGGGGCTATAGCTGCTACGGAGACCTCGGAGCATCAACCTAAAAAAAACAAAAAATTAACCAATTTCCACTGCATACCTCCTGGCGTGCCAAAGAAAATGTCTTCACATGGCAGTAATTGGCGCACATGCCGGGCCAGGTTGCCTGTCTCTGCTATGACAGATGGTTATTAACTAAACGTTGCCAAAAGCTGTTACCAGTTTTCAAACAGGAAGGAGTCTAGCTCGGGCATAGTGATTGTTTGAAGCTTGCTCCCAAATTCTAGTCTTAAATTCATTAGAATAAAAACAAAAATTAGAGTAGTCTTCCTTCCCATGAAAACGGACAAGTGGACAAATTGATTTATAGGGGTTATGGTTTTCCATAAAAATTGCACACTTGGGATGAATTCTGCTTGGATTTAATTATTCTCTCCTCAAAAAGACTTTGAGGTTAAATTATTTTTATAGTGTCTCTTTTGAAAGGAAAAGAATGTATAATTTCAGTAAGTATTGCTCATACTTTCAGATTTTAAAATAAGTAATTAGGAAGGTATGACAAAGTAATAATAGATAATATACCATACTGTGTTGTGTTGCTATACATCAGTGGTTCTCAAACTCATTAGACTTAAGGCACCCCTTGGAAAATGCCACCTCCTAATTTTCACTCATTTTTTGCCTACAGAAAAATAGCAGAACAATTCTTCTGTAACTGCTATAGATTCTGATATAGATTATACACATGAATAGATAGTTACACTTTATAAAGTTAGTCTTTTCTTTCTAATGAAACTTCCTAACAAATTATAATTTAGTGTAAGCATGAATTATTTCTGTTCAAAGACTCTTTTAATACCTTCTGGGCGTGTCTATGTATGCTGATTTAAGGTGCTTTAGCCCAATTTAAAGCATATTAAGGACATGCGTCTATATGTGCACACCCTTAATGCTCTTTAAAAATGGTGATTTTAGGCTATTCGCACCTAAATTTGACACCTGCAAAATTTAGGCATGAATAGCTGAAGCGCATTAACACACATGCAGATATGTTAAGGTGCATTAATACTGTGTGCATTAAGTCCCACATCAGTCTGCACACACTGTGTTAATTTGCTTTAATGTATGCACTTGTAGATGTGAGGCTAAATCATCTGTGTGCGCGTTAAGCTAATGTACATTAAATTTAGGCATGCCTAAATGCACGTGCAGACATGCCATTTGTTTTATTTTATTGCAAGATGGACAAGTGTTCTTCTACCTTCCTCCAATCTGTGCAGTTAACTTGATATAGAAATTACAATCGTGTCATGAAAAGGAATAATAAGTTGAATAAATTTTAAATACTTTATAGCTGCTTTTGCCCCTGTAAGAGTGGCATTAGTTGTAGTTGACCCATAGGCAGCTCTCTGGTTGTGGATTGCCACCATACATTTGTCAGGCTGGAACTGGCCCATGGAGCCTGGGGACTTTAGTGGGAGGGGGATGGCCCATTCTGGGTCTGGGTGATGGGGCCCATGCTGCAGCTGGGAGTCAGGTGGTGCTGTGGCAAGGAAAAGCAGTGGTGGGGAGTGGTAGGGGCCTCATACAGGCATTCAGTTTTTTCTGCGAGAGTTGGGGCGGGGGGCAAGAACAAGCATGTTTCTTCATGTTTGACAGAGTATTCGGAGGTGCATTATAGTTGACCTGGGAGTATGCTTGAGGCAGGGATCAAAAAGGGCGGAGATGATGTTTATTGTTGAAAGTGATCTCTCAACTCTAAATTTCCTGTTTTAGAGCTTAGCCACAATCCACATGTTGGAAGAGCAGGGAAGCATCAGTAGGCAACCTTAACCTTACAAAGGTTATTTGCCGTTCATGCTTCTCAGAACCAGACACAGAATGTGCATTTCCTTGGAATTTTCCAGCTGTGACCGCACATCATTCTGTGTTTGTAATATATCATTCTTACAGTTATTGTAAACAATTTTGGGGCAAGGCGATTCTTTAGTTGGTGTAGATGCATTTTATTGTACAGCACTGTGTATGTTTACATTGGTTAAGAAATAATTAGGTTTGAGGATATTTCCCATTCTGTCTTCCGTATCCATATCATTCTGCAGAGAGGAAGAAATACAGGCAGTTAAAATAACTGGACGTTTAAAAATACTCTCATACTTT